GCTGCAAGGAACTGCAGGAGCCCTGCTTGCCTCTCTGGTCTCATCTGTTCCAACCACACTGAACTTATTCTAGCTCCTAGAATGCTTCACACTCTTGCCCACCGCCAGGCCTTTGCACATGCTCTCTCCCAGGAGCAATCTTTTATCCTGGCCTGGCTGGCTCCTACTTCTTTATTTCAGTTAGATCATAGGTGTCACTTCCTCTAGGAAGCCTCCTCTGAATCTCCAAGCCCAGGAAACAAACTGTTGAGCATGTTTGTGGCCTGGCAGTGCTGTGAGGTGGAGGGGTAATGGGATAAGAATCTTTTTATGCTAAGTGACAAGGTCAAAGGGGTGAGTGAGCTGGCCTATGAGGTACAGGGCAGCAGCCAAAGAATGAGGGAGCGCTTCCTTCCTAGAGAAGGTTCTAGGAAGGTTTTGTGTCGCCTGCGGGTTAGAGAAGAAAGACTTTCTGACCTGAGCCTGTCTAAAGGGTCACTGGCTGATGGTGCCTTAGCTATCCTACCACTCAGGTCTCTGCTGAGCAGAAAGGATCACTGAAGTAAGGGGACTAGTTGCCCGGCACTATCTGAACAAGGTCAGCCTCACAACTGTCTGTGTTCTCAGGCCACCCAAAAAAGAGAGTCAGAGTGAGTAAGGTGATGAAAAGGATGAAAACTTTTTCAGAAAGTTTTTCGACCACAGCTTGTGTGAGAATCATTGAGACAAGTCTCTACTGCATAAATTTTATTCCAGGATATCTCCCCTGCCCCCCCGCCGCCCCCTTTCCTTAAAATATTTTTCTTTGGGGTACCCTTTCATTTTATTTTCTCTGCTCATTTGGCCCCTTTATAAGTTTGTTATAAAATTACTTCCTATGTAGATTAGAGGTCAGTATTCCCTGGCTGAAGAAACCCTGGATTTTTCTAGAATGCTCCTGCTATGATTCTTGCACCAGACTCTCTCAGCCCTGCAGGGAGCTGGGAATGGAATCTGAGACATGTGACACTGCATCATCATGATGTAGTGGTCAGACCTTTTTAGCCATGTGATTTCAGGTTGGATAGGAGCAGTGCCAGTGAGGTCTGGAAAAAGAACCTTAGTTACATAGCAAATAAGTTTAGCAGTTGCATATTGGAGCCAGGAAAATGTTGGAAAGCAGGTGACTCATGAAAAGATCCCATGTCACTGCCATTTGCTACAATGGAAAAAGCTTTCTGCCCTCCACTTTTAACAGACACCAAATAATATTCCCTTTCTGAATTTTATTTCCTCTTTTCTTAAAGGGAACATACAAGAAGAGAGGTTTCCTCCTTCCTTGTTCCACCCTTGCCTCCTGGGACTTTCTGAGTTTGTTTTGCTGAATCATAATTACAAATGTTGAGCAGTTAGTCTGTTTAAAACAGATAACGACTTCAGTTTCTTCCTGATGAGAGCTGCCAAGTTTAGTGGGTTATTCCTGTGTATCCAATGACTCGTAGGTACTGTAGAAAGTTAAAAAACAAATTTGGAAAATCTGAGAAGTAAATTATTTTATTTTCCACAATAGAAAATCATACTCTTTGCCTTGCTTAAGGAATGGATTTGATAAATTAGGGAATAGGATGATGCTCCTTCTCTGAAGGAGAAAAATGAATTGAGCAAGAGCAGTTAAGATATCTACTCTTATTAATCTTGACCTGACTCTGAACCAATATTTACAATGTCTGTAAAATTGTTCTGGTCTCCAATTACATTTTCAAATTTCCAGTCATGTTCTTTATCTGCCCTCTAGTGGACACATACTGAATAGAAAAATTCAACAGAAGAGCTCGCTAGGAAAAAAGCAAACACAATAAAAAATAATACGCTCTCTAAACATCTAGGGACCTTCACATTCTTTACCTCTTATCTTCATGATAGTCCTGTAAGAGAAATAATAATGTTCTTGTTTATATTCTCATTTAAACATCAAACTAACAATTCCAAAATATGGAACTAATATATACATCAACCCATTCCACAAGAAGTATCCAGGCCTAACCACTAAGTTTCTCTCAAGGACCTAAGAAAGTTGAAGTTCTTTATTTTTTGTATTTGTATTATGAAAGCAATAGGGTTTTTAAAAAATTTTCTAAATATGAAAGTTAAATATTAAGTAATTACATAACTTAAGGACCTGTACACAGATGTCCCCCAGCTTCCTGTGGTCACCTGTTCTCCAGTTTCTCCGAGCTTCCTCTGTGGTTGCTTACGTTGCTCCAGGAACCTCAAGGGCTCAGGACCCCACTGCCTCCATTCCTGGGTTTTCAGCCCCACTTCCAACACCCATACTTCACCCCCTCCTGAACACTCTCCCTAATTTTTCACAGCCGCCCTAGGCATACTAACACAAAGCTGAGTTTAGCATGGTGGATTACTTTTAGGGGAAGCCATGTCTAACATTTTCTATCTTAAGATCGCTCCTGTATTGTGCTGTACTCTTTCTGTCATTGTTAACTTTTGTAAATGTTTGCTGGAGAACATCTGTGTGGAAGGTCTTTAAGTCATGCATATTTATATAAAAAATAAATCTCATGTATAATTTTTTTCCTTTGTATTTAGATCTTTGATGCTGTACAACATAATACAAAACAAACCAAAGAGACTGATTTTTATGACTAGGTGTTATTCATCATGTCATCCTAGAGCAGAGGGCTGGAAGGAGAGGCTGTTCTCCAAGTAGAACTGAGGTGGAGTTAGTGCTGGAAGGGGCTAAAGATTTCTTAATGTGACAACTGTTTCCTAGAACAAAGGGCTCTAAAATCCCATTAGGAAGAGATTTATTTTATATATGATAAATATATATATATCTGGTTCTGTTTCTCTGAAGAAGACTAATATAAGTAGGTATGTCATCAAAGCTGGTTCAATTAGAGTAAATCTTAGGCCTTTTCCTGGGAATGTTGGCACATAGCTACTCTCTTTCTCTGAATGTTGGAATTCAGATGTGTGGCTTGGAACCACTATCAGGTGCAAGCTCGGAGCCAGAATCCTAAGATCTAATGCAGGCACAGCCACTTACTACCTGTGGGACTGCTCCTTAGTCTCCTCATGTGTAAAATGGAATTATAGTGCCAACCACATAGCGTTATTGAGAGAATTAACCAATTTGATAGATATTAAGCACTCAGAACAATGCCTAGATTACAGTAAATGCTCAATAAATCCAAGTGGTGCTGGCAGTGGCGATAAAAACCAGCCTGAGAAAAAGTCTGATGTATACAGCGGGCAAGAAAATGGATTCAGAGCGCTAACGGCTTCTCAACCCTCTAGATCAAACTGAGCTTGACAAGCATCCTACTTCTGGACTTTTCAGTAACATGAACTCATAAATTCCTTTATTAGTTAAATCTATTTGGGTTGAGTTATTTCCATCCTGAGTGCTGAACCTCTTCTTAACAACTGACTGGTTTCTTTTTTTCAGACCCACAAGCACAAAAGGTTTGTGCTTTTTTTTCCTCATTATTTAGTGCTACCTACCCATTCACTTAAGGGTGACAACTTTCTGTGGCTCCAGGAACCCTATTTTACCCATCAATAAGGAACTTACCTTCAATACCTCAAACGTGATTTACTCTTCTATTGCTATTGCCCAAATGATCCTAGGTAGCGTAAACAGGCATTCACTGAAGAGGAATCAGGAAGGTCCTATAAACAATGAAAAGATGACCAACTTAGGGGAAATGCAAATCAAAAACAATAGAATGCTCTTTCAATTCACTAGTTAAATAAAAAATTGAAAGTCTTAAAAATTCTAAGTATCAACTAGTATGTGGAGTCAAAGGGACTTTTATATACTGCTGACGAGTGTAAATTAATTGTACAGTCTACAAAATAATGTGTAAAAATTGACATTATCATGTAAAGTCAAAAATGTCGTTAAATAATAAGGTGATAATACTACTGAGTCTATCCCTGGAGAAACTCTTAGACATACGCCGTCAAGACTCAAGAATGCTTAGCATTGCACGTGGTCATACCGAAAAGGCTGAAAACGACTGATGTATCCATACACAGAATGGATAAAATATGGCATATTTACTTAATGCATTCTGAAGACCATGAAAATGAATGAACATGCATCAGCTACATGCATCAGTGTGGATAAATCTATAAAAATCATAGCTTTGAGTAAGAAAGAGCACTTGCAGAATATGTCCCAAATACTATTTATATAAAGTTTAGAAGCATATGATAACTAATACATTATTTAGGGATATATCAGGTAAAAAAGCATGAGAATGAAACAAAATCAGAGGAGTGGTTATGCTTGGAAGCAATGATAATTATTTATTTCCCAGTCAGTGTTGAGTACATGGGTGCTCCTTTTTATCTTTACATTATATATGTTATATTCTTTTTATGCATGGGATGTAATTTTTTTTACTGTGGTAAAATTACATAAAATGTAGCATTCTAACCATTTTTAACTGTACAACTTAGCAGCACTACTTAAGCACATTCACTCATATTGTTACACAACTATCCACCTCTATCCACTTCCAGAACTTTCCATCATCTCGATCAGTGCTTTCGCATTATATCCAAGAAATCATTGCAAAAGCCAATGTCACAAAGCTGTTGCCCTATTTTCTTCTAAAAGTTTCATAGTTTTAGCGCTTAGGTTTACGGTTCTGATCCATTTGAGTCCATGTTTATGATGTGGTGTAAGGGTTCAACAAAATTCTTTTGCAGGGTAATATATTTTTAAACAGAAAGAAAAGAATCAAAGAATATTAGCTCCAGTAGGGGCCATCGCATTGATGAAGAAACTGAGATAGAGGTAAAATAACATATCAAGGTTACACCACTGGTTAAGGGTAACAGCGGAACAGAAGCCAAATCTGCCTACTGGGCAAAGCATTACAATAGACCATTGGGCGGACGCCTAAGCAGCAGGAGACCGGTCCCTGCTCGTCCCCCAACCCCTTTCGGATCCGCCCCTTACTGGCCCGCGCTCTCGGACTTTTCGTCCCTGGCTCCTCCCCTTCCCCGCCCCCGAGGGCGGGCCCACGAGGCTCGAGAGCTTTGGAGCCTTTGAAAACTGGCTCAGTGCGCGGGCGGGAGTGAAAGCTCGGCAAATCTTCGGCGTCCCAGGGACCGGGAGCAACTGGTTGTAAGGCCTGGATTCCAGCTCCGCTGTCGTACTTTACAGGCTCTGTTTTCCCTCGCTCTCCAGGACGGGGCGGAACCCTCGAGCCCCGCGACGTGAGTACCCGGCCCGGGGGCGGGGCTTACGTGCCAGACGCTTGGCCTGGATTGGCTGCTCGGAACGGCGCGGGGTTTGGCGGGAGCTTCGTTGGCTCCGGGGGCGGGAGAGCAGTCGGCCTGATGGCTTCGCGGCGGCGGGCGTGGAGCCGGGGGCGCGCGGGGTAAGTGTTGCGGACACTCAGCGCGGGCCCCAGACCAGCTTTATCTTCTTCCTTTCCTGCCGCGGTTTGTGCCTCTTGGAGCTATGCCGTGTAGCGAGGCGCCCTGACTCCGCCACTGCGAAACCTGCACCGAGTGACTCAGGGCCTCGGTTTCCACGTTTGTAAAAGGGGAGAAATTATAGTCCCAGCCTTGGGACTATTGGAAGAAAAAATGTAGGGGCCTTGAACCACAGCAGACAAAAATATTTGATCTGATAGACCAGTGGTTTTTGATGCTTTAATATTCTCTCTCACATGCAGGTGTATATATATATATATAACATACATGTTTTAATTATGTGTTACATATAAAACATTTTTTACCTTTGGGATGCATGAAAGCTGTTTATCCCTCCTCCCAAAATGCACTGGTGTGCATATACTAAAATTTTTACATATGGTGTCACAGGTTTCCTCCTTTTGGAAGCCCCACCTTGCTCGTAGCCTAAGGTAAGACAGAAACTTGATTGTTTTTTTTTGAGCACAGACATGGCAAGAGACATGTGGAAAGAATTTAGGTTAAGAAGTTATGCATTCTGGCTTCTAGTCATTTCTCTTGTCTGTGTGGCCATTGATCAGTCACCTAACTGCTTTGAACCCCAGAATCATAAATGCCATGAAGTGATTACCTGTTCTACCTTCCTGGATCTGAGAATCAAAGCAGTGGTTCTGGAAGTATGTCTTTGAACAGCAGCATCAGCAGCACCAGGAACTAGTTAGAAATGCAAAATCTCAGACTCCATCCCAGATTTACTGAATCAGACCCTCTGTAGGGTGTGGGGCCTAAATCTGTTTTAACAAGCCCTCCAGGTGATTCTGATGCCTAAAGTTTGAGAGCTGCAGCTCTAAACAGTTTTCCAACTTCTTGTTTACTGTGGTTAACAGTAATGTTTTATGTCACAATTGGTACATGTGCACATATAACAAGGTTTATGAAAATACTATATCCAGTGCAGTTTTACATTTTATATTCTCTTGTATTTCCTTTTTAAAAATTCTTGGGGAAAAAACCTTAAAAGATATTATGGGGCATTGATGAAATTTGGATATAGACTGTAGATTAGATCATCATATCAGTGATATATTTCTTGATTTGGAAATTGTACTGTGACTGGGCCCTTTCTGGGAAAGACACACTAAGTATTTAGAGGTAAAGATGCACAGTGTCTCCAGTTTACCATCCACACAGGAAGCAAATGAGACAAAATGTAAATGATGGGTGAATCTGAGTAACAGGTATGCAGATCTTTATACTATTCTTGTAACTTTTCTGGAAGTTTGAAATTACATCAAATAAAAAGCTACTCAAAGAAATAATGGTTCAGACACCAATTTTGCTATCCACAAATGGGTGTCTGCATGGCGTGTTTTCAAGTCAGGGACCGTGTAGGTATTGTACCTGAGCACCCCCAGTGCCCTATGTGATACCTGGTGCACAGCGGATCCTCAGTACATTCACTGACAATATTATTTCCTGCCTCTCTGATTTCCAGTTCTTATTCTAGTCACTGTTGTTCCATCTTGTTTACTTTCAGGTTGCTGAAAATATGCACTTTTATCCTAATGCCCAGTGGAGGGAGCAAGACAGGGTGGAAAGGGGGCCGGCTGTGGATTTGAACTGATGCATATTTTAATGCAGGCTTCTCTCCTGCTGTGCTGTGTTGCTTTGGGCAAATACACATCTGTAACATGGGATTCACTTCTACCTCAGAGGACTGTAAGAGTTAAGTGAGAAGATGAACGTGCAAGAGCCAAGCACAGGACAGAATGGGTGTCAGGTGCTTGATAAATGTTGGCGTATCTCCCTTTTGCTCAATTCTGCAGAAACAGTCAGTCATTGTTGTTAATTGGGACTTCAGGGACAAGAATAGCAGCAGGACTAGGAATTTTCATGTCCCTGAATGGGAGACGTATGCTATTTAATATATAGGTGATATGAGTTGACCTGTAAAAAATAGTTAAATTTATGAGCTATGGGTTTTGCTTTCTAAAACAATTTTGTCATAATCTGAATTTCATTGAGTGCACACTATTAGTACAACTAATGAAGAATGTAATTTGGAAAGAAAGTGCTTGGACAGGGTTGCAATTTATGGTTTTTCCCCAGTTATTTTAACAATATTTCTTGACTCTTGTATTTTTGCTGTTTAATAGTGCAAGATATTCAAAGAACACTGTGAGAAGAACACATTCCACGAAAGATGTAAGTGATCTTTTTATATTTCAATGTGTTGTCTCAGAATTGACAATACAAAAGAACTAACATGTGGGATCTCCAGAGTTTGATAAGCTTCACTAGGTGAGCTCAGTGTTTTATTGTAGTGACAAAGTATATTCTTCCACTTTTTCCAGTAAGATGGAGAAAATGACTGTCTTTAACCTTTTGAATCTTTTTTCCTGGACCTAGCTTGATTTTATTTTTGTTTGGATAATGGACATTATTTAAAACTGTACAACTTTCTGTATTTTGCTATTTTCATTTATAGCCATTTCTCTCTTATAGTTTTAAATAATTGTTTATGATTTCATAATATTCCACTTGGTTCACATTACAATTCTACTTTAGGATAGAGTCTGAGAATAAATCTGTGTTGTCAGAAGCCAGCCGACAAAGTAATTGAGGGTACCTGAAAGGGAGAGCATGGGCTGAGGAAAAGAAAGAAGACAGAATTGCAGGAGGGAGCACAGAATCAAGCTGTGTCCCCGAGTTTACTTCTCAGGCTATATTTATACGGAAACTGTAGCAAAGAATTTGCAGTGATTGCTACGTGAACAATTGCAAGCTTACAGAGAATTCAAGATAAAACATCCTTTTCCTGTCTTCTCAAACGG